TACAATAACTTGCTTCACCTAATACCTTAAACGTTTGTTACTAAATAGTAACATACTAAGCATTTGGAATCTCAATGATTGACTATTAAAAGTCTCAAATCAATATTCATTAGGAGGTAATAGCTAAATGTACTCATAATACCTATTCACAATCATTCTAAGTTTTAAAAAATGTGCAGTAAGCCATTTAACCCTATAACCATCTGAGCCAAGAACTATTATTATTCCCGTTTCTTAGCTAAGAAAGCTGAGGCTGTGAAGTTAGGTGTTTTGCTCAAGGTCACGTATGTAGCTGGTGACAGAGCCAAGCTTTTAACCCCAGCAGTTTGCGGTCAGAGCCAATCATTACAACCACTGCGCTCCCCAAAGCCCACACTCAAACTGCAAGAGCCAGGGCAGTACAGAGCAAATAAATTCCTCACTTAATGAGCAAGAAGGGGACAGATCTTCTTTACAATGCCTAATGGCACTAATTGTTACTAGGAATTGATTCATTCCTTAAAGAATACAGGACATTAACCCCCACCCTGACTTAGCCAGTTGTGTTTATTTAAAACAATTGACTACACTTTAGTTCTCCAATAAAAGCCCCGTGGAAGATCGCCATGCTTTGCTCTTCGTGGGGCTGGGAGAGTACCCACTTCCAATTACTCACTCGTGTGCCAGCACACGCATGCCTGTGCACGTGTCACACTCATGTGTATGCACAGGTGTGTGCACACAGGTGTGCAGCAATGCCTGGTGTTTCTGCAGAGTGGCGTTGAGAGGAGCGGCTGGCTCTGCACCCCCGCATTTTCCTCCCAAGGACCGGGCTGGGCACAGGCCTTTGCACTGAGTTACATTCCTAGCCTTTTAAAAACTCTTCAGAACTCTTAGAAAGTTGCTAAACTGCCCAGGCTAGGGTCTAACTTACCATTCTCCTGCCTCAGCTGGCCAGACTGCTGGGGTTACAGGTGTGTGCTACCAGGCACAGCTGAAATATCATTTTTCATGATCACTTCAAGCATTTGACTGTCAAAAGCTGTTCTTCAAGATTTTCTGAAATACACAGTACATTATCTTTATCTACCCTCACCCTAGTGTAGGAGTGACACCAGAACTCATTTCTCCCTAAGTGCAAGCCAGTCCCACCCTCTGCACCTCCCAGCCCCTCCTGCTCTCAGCTCCTAGGAAGTCAGCATTTTTAGGTCCCACACAGGAGTGAGAGCACACATTTTGTTTTCCCTGTGCCTGGCTTACTTCACTTTGTATAGTGACCTCAAGTTCCACGCATTTGTCACTTTGACAAGATTCCATCCATTTTCATGGCTGAGTAGTACTCCACTGTGTGTGTATACCACATTTTTTTTATCCTTTCATCCTTTGATAAACATTTGGGTGGTAACCATTTGTTAGCTATTGTAAGCATTGCTGTGAAAACATGGGAATGTGGATGTGTCTTCCACATACTCATTTAGTTTCCTCTGGGTGTGTTCTGAAGTGGGATTTCTGGATCACGATGTTGTTCTGTTTTTAATGTTTTTAGAGCTCTCCATGCTGTTGTCCACATGGACTGTATGACTCACGCTCCTCCCCTGGTGCGAAGGGCCCCTCCACATCCTCGCCAGTGCCGGCCCTCCACTGCCATTTTCACGGCAGCCGTCCCGAGTGCGGCTTGGTCCTGTGCGGTGCCCAGTGTGGTGACGGGCGCCTCGCCGCGCTCTTCACTGACTTTCCCAGTGCTGGACACCGCTGAATGCTTGTCACACACCTGGGTCTGTTTCTGCGACTTCTCCGGGGAAGCGTCTGTTAGTTCGATGCCCGTGTTTAAGTCTGGTCACTTGGTCTCTGGCTACTGAGTTTTCCTATGTGTCTTGGATTTTTGCCCCTGTCAGAGGAACGGTCTGTATTTCCCCCCGGGGGCTGCCCCTTACCCTGGTGATTGTTTGCTGTGCTGTACAGAAGCTTTTCTGTTTGATGCAATCCCATTCTGTTTTCATTTCTGCTGCCTATATTTTGGGGGCCTTATTCAAAAAGTGCTTGCCAATTTCAATGTCGTAAAGGAGTTTTCCTAAGTTTTCTTCCAGTAACTTCAGAGTTTGGGATCTCCTATTTGAGTCACCCGTGTATTTTGACTTGATTTTTGTGCGTAGTGAGACAGGCATCGAGTTTCATGCTTTGCATGTGCAGATCCAATTTTCCCCACCCCACTTGTTGAAAAGACCGCACTTTCCCAATGGACGTTGGGAGCACTTCTATCAGAAATCAGTCGCTGACCGCGTATAGATTTACTTCTAGACTCTCTATTCTGTTGCACTGTAAACATAAACACTTGTATTTGTTTTTAATGCCCATTCCTGCAAGCTCAGCACTCTGAGAGGCTGAGACAGGAGGACAGTAAATTCCGGCCCAGCCTGGGAAACCTAGGGACTTAGCAAAGCCCTTCCTTGAAATAAAAAATAAAAACAGGGCCAGGCATGTAGCTCAGTGCGAAGGCCCTGGGTTCAACCCTGGCACTGCATTCAGCAACCATTAAAATATAATGAAATCTTACTAAATGTGTTAATAAGTCTATCCATAGATTCTAACGTTCAGTTCATCTAATTGCCAATAAGGAGAACAAACGCATGTCATCGTATGCTGCATCTATGTATTATATTTATGCACACAAACCGAAGAGCTGTTTTTATGGCAAAATCTTTCCACATCCAAGCGTTACTGAGTCTGTGCCTCTTGATGAGTGCTGTGGGAACCATGAATTGGAACACAGAGAGGAGAAAACAAATTCGTGTTCCGTAAACAAGGATCTTTGCATTCGTGTCACCTGACAGAAGGAGCTCCACGAACCCAGCAGCGTGCGTTTGGGAGGATCATCCTTCATCTCAGGGGCACAGGGCCAGGGAAGAGGGAAGCTCTTCTGTGGGGTGATGAAAACAGACGTTTCTGCCCAAGGGTCCTGCTGTGCCCTCTCTGGGCACCTGTTCTTGAACCACTCTGACAATGAGTCTAACCTCTCTACCATCAAAGCTGCCCAAGAATCTAACAAATGTGTCACCTGTTCTGTTCCGTATGCATACTGTGTCGCATGGCACAGGGCTCTCTAAAACACTGGACTAGAGGCCTGGCCCCTCCCACTCAGGCCTCTGGGAAGTCCCAGCCCCGAGGCTGAATATGCAGATAGGACATTGGACCAAGACCAATCAGCGGTTGACAGAGTGTGGTCATGGACAAGGAGTTTGCCAGGTCAAGAGCTGTGCTTCCTCGAACTCAGCACAGTACAGGACATATCCTGCAGCACTTAGCTTCTCTCCTGCTAGATTTCAACCCTCCACTGTAGAACTGAGTCTTCTGTTTCCACAGTAGTAATGATTACACTTATGATTTCCAGTTATTTAGTCCTTCAGCTAAAATCTCCCAGAGACCCATTCCATGCAGGGTACCAGACTCTGGGAACAGAAAGCTGTGCTTCTCCTCGGAAGAGGTTCGCAGCCCCAGGAGTGGTTTCTGATCTGAGGTGATTTGGAACCCAGGGGACACTTGGGGACATGCAAGTGAATGTTTAGTGTCTCACCCGGAGGGAAATTGGGGATGCTGCTGGCATTGAGGGGGGGGAGGCCAAGGAGCCGCTCACCGTCCTACGATGCACGGAACAGTGGGGACACACACACACACACACACACACACACAGATACAGTGGTGCTAAGGCCAAGATTGAGACACAAAGGTCTAACAGGAGACACCAACATTGGGGTGAGAGCAACCGGGTGCATCTGCAGTATGGAGCAGCTCTGGGTTTCCCATAGAGAGCTGTGCAGTCCTCATGCAGTCTTCTCGGCCTGTGTCTGTGCACATGTGTCTGAGAGTGAAAGTGCTCAGAGCACTGTCAGCCCAGCCCAGTAACAGCTGCGGGTAAGGCTGATAGAACCACAGCTACCCAAAGCCGCAGTGTCCTACACTCCAGAACCCACAGCGTGTTCCTTGGCACAGGGCAGTTAGGAATGTAGGTGGAACGAAGGTGGCCAATCAACTCACTTTAAACTAGGAAGATCACCTTGGGTCACTTAGGGGTGCAGTAGAATCGCGAGGACTTCCCAAGTGGAAGAGGAGGGAGGGGCATCGGTGTCCTGGTGGTGCTGGAGAAACACTAGACTGGCCACACAGGCTTGAAAGACAGGAGTTGTGGCTCAGGGACGAAGGCAGAACCTACACAGTGACAAAGGCAGGCGAAGATTCTCCGGAAGCCCCTGGAAAGCCTAGCCCTCGAGCACCTTGACTTTAGGCCAGTTGGCTCATTTCAGGTCTTGCCCTCCAGAGCTACTGAAGTGGGGTGCTCTTGGGCTCCTGAGCTTGTGATAGCACCCAAAGGAGGCTGATCCATAAGGCCACTATGGCATCAATAGAGGGTGGGGCCGGGACCCCAGCAGCAATACCACTGAAGTCCTGTACCACACGACGTCATTCACTCACCCTCCAGTGGGAAATCCTCCACCTCCCTCCTGATTTCTACCAAGCTGGGTACACAGAAACCATCCATTGGCACCCTTTGGGGCAGTGTGGCCAACTGTGTATTTCTAGTTTACATGGGTGATGAAAAAAAGAATATGTCAGTGTTTTTCCTTCGTCTCCTTGGGCAGAAAAAGCCCGAGCTCTGCGCCGTCCACTGTCTGTGTGCCTCGATGGGTTCCACATGTCAGCTGCATGTGAGTCTCAGCTGTAATTTCGGAGGCGAATTTCTCAAGGAAGAGACCCAGAACATGGCCTTTCTGGTGTGACGGAAGCCAATACAAAGAACTCAACACCAGTCGAATCAATGACTCACCTGTGAGTCTATAACCATCACCTATGTCTTCCCTACAGTACCTGTGTGAGAACAGCCATGGCATCGGAAAGACAGCTGATCTCAGAGAACTTAGTCCCACGCTTTGCCACCGTGCACCCTGAAATCCCCACTGTCTCAGTGGCTTCTGCTAGGAGCCCGATAAAATCCCAAGGTTTTACGGAGGAAAATGAAAGTTTCCTACCATTTCAGTGCCTTACAAGAAACGGTGAAGCTTTGCCTCAGAGTCCAAGGTCAGCTCCTTAGCTCTGGCTCTGGTCCTTGGTGTGCTTTCCATGGAGACAGAAACATCAGTTAGGTCCAAAGAAAGAAGAAATCCATGCAAAAAATAGGAGAAACAAAATAAAACAGACACACTAAATTACAAAGGAATTCATTACAAATGTTTACTCCTACTCTTTTCCTTCCTTGATGTCTTTCTATCAAAATCCTAACTTACATGCATGAGAATAAGATCTCTTCATGAAGCCTTTCTGCTATTGAAATTTCCATAGGATAGTGTATATTACGACTGGCATGAATATTAGACATTTGGGGCCATTAATTATATTGTTTTCTTTTTTTTTTCTCTTTTAGTACCAGAAATCAAACTCAGGACCTTGCCAGGCAGATGTTTATGCCACTGAGCTATATCCCTGGCCCTATATTCTGTGTTCAAATGCCCTCAATAATATTGATAAAAATTATAAAGTCTTTATCTAGTTCTCTTGTCTAACACTTTCCACCAACGTCTGACAGAAGTTTTCATTCCTTTAGATACGTGAACAGTAATTCTGGTTTAAAGTGAACATCAATTGAACCATGCATAGAGGCCTCTCAATATTTTTATCAAATAGATTTGAAGATTTCATTGCAATTCAGGTGAAAATGTAATAAATATTGACAATGCAGAGAAAAATAAAGTGACTCCAAATCCATTAGTCACATTACAGCAACCAAAGCAAAGTATCAGGACAAACAAGATGGAGAAAAAGAAGACGAGACAAAGAAAGGGCCAAATTTTTAGTTCAGGCTCAAGAAAAGCAGCTAAAATTCATCTGTCTGCAGGGTAGCGGATCAGACTTGGGTCGCTGCCTGGGTCTCCCTGTCCTGGCCCACACAGAGGTCCTAGAAGTCCCGCTGCTGAAAACCATTATACTGTGAAGACGTTCTGAAGCACAGGCGTCAGGTGCTAGGTGTCATACCTGCGCTCATCACACCACTGGGCCTGGCACAAGGACAGAGCCTCGTGTGCCCACTGAGGTCTATCCAATGTCCACAACCCTCCAACAGCCTGTGCCCGCAGCCCTAGCCGCCTCCTTCGCACCACGAGCAAGAGGTGCTTCAACTCAAATCGGCAGGAAGGGCCACTCTACCCTGCGCGTGTGAACACCGTCAGACTGCAGGCCGCCAGCTTGCCTTGCCTCTGGGCCCTGACAGCTTAGTCTTCAGGAAGGAAGGACGAGGCTCTTAACCAATGTCACCTCATTTACAAGTAGTAAGGGGGAAATCAATATATTAAATCTCTTTACAATCTTTCCATTTCTTAAAGATATTGTACTTAAATTTTCAAGAATTTTCAATTTCAACAAATACATTTTAGACAATTGCTTCTAGATGTTGCCCCTCGAGTCTTTAATTTTTGTCCAAAATCAGGAAGAGAATGAATTTTACAGCCTCTCAGTTTCATCAGAAATGACAATGTGCCTTCTCCTTCACTTCCACTCATTCCTAAGTCTTTGGAGTACATTTTGTACTCTAGATGATTCAACACAGATTTAATGTTTTTACATTTCACTTAGTCGAATTTTTAAGTGGTACAATTTTGAGAAATTCTGCCAACTTCATACAACAATGGCAAATTAAGCATAACATTGCAATGCAACCAACCTTTATTCTAAAAAGGGACCCACTAAGGACCTAGAACTTGCCTGGACCTGCTTGAGAGTATCTGAAAATAATTGCACTACCTCGTATTCTTGTCTGGTAGGTCTTAACACTGCACGTGCCTGCCCTGGCTGCCTTCTAACAGCACTGGGGCATCGGCCGCTGCAAGGGCTGCTCTGGTCTCTTTGTGTAAGGAACTGGAGATGCTGAGGAAGCCCCGAGCCTGAGGTCTGGACCGACACCAGCCTCGTGTCTCCGCCTGCCCAGTCCCGCCAGTCCTGCAGGCAGGGTTTCCTGCAAGGGCTCAGGAGTCAAAGCTGAGCCTAGGTGAGGAGCTGGCTGGCTGGACACCTCTGGCCCCAGGCAGCAGGAAGGTGATACTTTCTTTTCTCTTTTCCTGGGTCATAAAGAAAAGTCTTGCCTATCAGAACGAGACATTTATTCCTACCTCCATCCCCATCTGCAGTCACCACTGTGTGTGGGAAGCCACCCACGTCGTCTGTGAGGTGAGCGGGTGGCCTCGTCTAGAACAGGATCGCAACACGAGGCGCTCAGCGTGCAGTTCTTTGTCCTGAGAGCAACAAAAGGTTGGTGCAGTCCCTTCCGAAATAGGTCACTCACTTCAGTGTTACTCTGCAGGAGACACTGTGCCCCGAGGCATTGCACCTTAATTTTGTACCCAGACACTCAAGGCAGGGTCCCCCGCGAGATGTTATCTCGTGACAGATGTCATGGGACAGATGTCCTCAGGCTCAGGTGCCGCCTGGCTTAGGGGGAAGTCACCTCCTGTACCAACAAACCCCTGCAAAGGAAAACTGTGGGATGCCACATGCACGGGTGTACTCTGCCCATGTGACGCCACAGCTCTGGGCAGCAGGTGTCCGACCTGTGGCCCTGGCAGTAGCCATGCAGCCCATTAGATACAGACTTTGACCACTGTGCTGTGGTTTCCAGCCATGTTTTCTATGGCTTGAAATCAGTGCTCGAGTGTGGGTGGACTGCATTGGTGACATGGAACACTAGTAGGGAAAGTGCAGGAGGCAGTGCTGACTCAGCCTCCTATGCCAGCTGCCCGATCAGTGGAATGGAGACCAGCCACGGAGTGCCAACCATGGCATGAGTGAAACCAAGGACTTCGTGTAATAGTGTTTCAACCCACTTGGGGTCTGAGGATGTCAGTGTGAAGGCCATAGGTCCAATATCCAGTAACCAAACAAACAAAGAAACAAAAAATCACTGTGGTTGGGATCACCTATATTGAAAACCAAATGAAGAAATATTAAATGCATTCAGATTTGTAAAACCTTCTTACACAGTAGAATTGCTTATAAGAAAGATGGTGCTTCCAAAGGCTAGATTTCCTACAGACAAGATTCTATAAAGCAAAATGGTATAAGACAACCCATGGGAAAAGGATAAACATTTTACTTGGAAAATTACACATTGGTGTTAAACCTCTGTTATCACCTAAGGAGAATTCCAAGGTGCCAAGAAACACCTTTCACAGAGTCTACACACTAACCTCTTTCACTCAATCTTCTTCTTTTTCCCTAAAGTTCCCTGATTTGCAAATAATGACCAATAACTGTGCTCCTCTGGTGAATGCAAGTTTGGCACTGGACTAATCTCATAAAAGAGTGGCTAGAATCAGTTTTTACAAAGAACTATGCTTACTGTCTTCATTATTTCAGAGACAAGTGCAAATTTCTCTCCTATTTCTTATTTAACTAAATGGCATTGGTCAATGTTGAGCTTTGTTAAAGGTAAGATTCAAATAAACAGTTAAGGAATTTTGCTAGACAAAGGCTGTTTATTTTTACATTTGGGGCAGCTTCTAGCTAAAAACTGAAGGCCGTACAAGCAAAACCAAAGTAATACGAGGTTCCTGTCCTTTCAAATGGATCTCACTTATAAATAGATATGGCTTTCCTCATAGCTTCAAACTTTTTTTCCATAAATTCACAAGAGAATAAAAGATAGTACAGGATGAATTATTATATGTCCTCAGGCCACAGTGCGTGTGTTACATGTTATACAATGTGCTAGCCTGAAGAGTTAGATCAAGCACAGTAGCTGAGCTCTTCCTTTAACCTTATCAGCTCACCGCAAGTTATATAAACATATTTTCAAATGGAATCTTATTTCATGTTTTAATGTAGGAATTTTAAAGCTAAGAATGCCAAGAGACAAAGTTAAATATTCATTCAAACCGTACTTTTCCCACATTTCCATTCCACCCCAAAGCACATCCACAGAGTACCTGATTTGAGGATTGCATAGTGCTAAGTGCATAGACATTTCCAACAGTTCCAGGAAAACATGTCCTTAACCTCCCTGGTGGACCATGCTCAACTGTCACCTTATGTATTAATTTAGTGTGTTAAGTCCACATGAGGAATGCGTGATGTGATATGGAGCCTAGAGTGTAAAAGTTTCTCACTGATGTATGTAAATCTCAAGCACCATTGAATAAACAAAGAGGATTTTACTCACTCAAATTGGTAGTCAAAGCTTTTTATATTATGAGGTTGTCATCATATCTTTTTATTGAAAAGGTACTCTCTTAGCAAAAAACTCTAGTGTTCTTGCAACCTATTTTGTCTTTCCTGCTAAGTGAAAGGTACAAAGAAATATGAAGGATTTATTGCTAAAAATTGTGTAGAAATATTCTATTTAGCAAACATATGTTACATATTAGCAGTTTTAACAGATATTTGATATATATTATGCATATTATGAAATATAGTATATACGCAAGGCTGCTTACTGAACCCTCTCTGCGTTGAGAAGTAAGCAGCATTCAGGATCTTTCAGGCTAAGTGAGAGATTAAATTGTAGGAGTCAACCCGTTACCTAACTGTGTTAAGTCTTTATGCAGGTATAGCTGTCATCGGCACAAAGGGGGGAGGTAGGGGGGCAAAGGGAACCAGGCTTCCATGATCAATTGTCCTCTGAAAAGAAAAATATTAATTTACAAACAGCCCTTGCATATAGTACGCATTCAGGAAACTGTTCAATGTACGGATCTTGTGGAGATTTTTCTCTCTTCCTTCAAGAAAAGACACTTTCTGTGTGACAGGGCATCACAAACAGAAAGAGAGAGAAGGTAGCTCCTCCTATCCGTTCCTGGTGCTCCTAAGAAATAAAAAGTTTAAATGCATCCCAATTTAATAGATGAATGTGTCCAACACTAAAGAGATTAAAAAGTATGATAAGAACTGGCAAGATTTAAAAATCAGCTTTATTTACGGGGGCTGAAGCACATAAGCAGGTGAAATATCACGATAATTCCATCTTGTGATTTTAAATCACGTTTTCACGCAGAAGCATTTGCTCTGGCTTTTGTTAAGCAGGGATTTTAAGAAGTTTTGATAGAAAATATATTCCTAGAAGAGAACTATTC